CCTACCACACAATAGGAAACCCTAAACCCTAAACCGAAATAAACCCTAAACCCTAACAACCCTAAACCCTAAACCCCAAACCCTAAACCCTACATCTCCGGAAGAAAGGATTGGGTGGCGGTGGACGAGGCCCTGGGCTCGGGGATGTCAGATGCCGCGAAGCGCGGTTTTGAGGGTTGCTAGGTTTAGGGTTTAGGGTTTAGGGTTCAGGGTTTAGGTTTAGGGTTTAGGGTTTAGGGTTTAGGGTTTAGGGTTAGGGTTTTCTATGCGGGGCTGAGGTTGTGGGGTTTAGTGTTTAGGGCAAGGGTGTTAAAAAAGGGCTCGCTGGTGCAAGTTCTTGTAGAGTACCTTGGCTAAGGGCTGAAGGGCTTCGGATTTAGTGTTCACCTTCCTGGCTTTAAAGAGGTTCCTAGGGCCTAAGGCGTTCTAGGCTTTTGCAAGGGTGCAGGAGGGCTTTTTAGGGTGTACTTTACGCTTTAGAACACAGAGAGGTACAGGCACTGCAAAGGGTATTTGTGATTATTAGTGCTAGCAGTTCAGATCTCTACATCTCCTGGACGGAGTTCTCCGCCGCCCTTGAAGGTACTATGACCTCAGGTTTAGCGTTAATTTAGGGTTGGCGTCGCGTATAATTGTGTGTGTCTTGGGGTATTGGACAAGAAAGTTAACCCACGATAACCAATTTCCTCCTAGCGTCTTAATGCATCCGCAACCGGTCCTGCAGTAGTACCCTTTTACACCTTTCTTCGATGTGCTTGGTGTTTCGGGGTTTAAGTTTGCAGGGTGTTATAATATGGCTTCGTAAGGGTCGTTAATTTAATTGGAAACAGTACTACCCCTCTGGGCTGTTCGGGAAGTTCGCCGTAGGGTAGAATTTCTAGGCTTAGGTGCTTTGCGACAACGTGGCTTATCGTAGGTAAGGGTCCCTAAACCCTAAACCCTAAACCCTAAACCCTAATGGTTAGCGTAAAGCCCAGCATCGACACGCTGAATGTAACTCCGCGTCCTCTCCGGGCGTTCTAGGATTAGGAGGTCCTCCTGCTCTTGACTTTATGGAGTTTGGGTAGTTATTTTTTAGGGTCCCTTTTTGGGGTCCCCCATATAGTACGGCACCCTGATAAAAAGGACCCTAAAAAGGACCCTAATTTAGAAAACCACCCATACTAGCATACATATGCTGTAGGGTGTTCCAAGAGATGCAGACGCGTTACGTGCGAGTTTAGAGGGATTCAGGTTTTGGGGTTTAGGGTTTAGGGTTTTGGGGTTGAGGGTTTAGGGTTTAGGGTTTCGGGTTTCGGGTTTAGGGTGTAGGATTCAGGTTTTGGGTTATGGATTTCAGGCTTCCGTCTTAGGATCTAGGAATGAGGGAATGAGGTCATCTTGCAGGTGTTTCGACATTCCAAGAGGGAAGAAACAGGAAACTCTACAAGCCTCTGCGCTAGGGCTTCTAATGTAGGGGCCTTTGGGGGGTGCCTTATTATCTTTATAGTAGCATATACCCCAAACCTTATGCGAATTATTAAGGCCTCTACGTTAGGGGCATGCCAGTTCGCGAGGCACTAGGCGATTCCGGCGTCATAGTCGTTCGTTCACTGCCCCAGCTACCCGGCACGGAGCTCGGTGCTTGCTTTTTTCAAGGTCCGGAGTTTTCTTACAGCGAAGTGGCGGCAAACATCTAGAGACCTCAACCTAGAGACTCGTACTAGATTCTCGCAAAATAATGTTGGTTTATGCGTGGAAGAGGAAATGGGTAGGGTCCCTTTTTAGTTCCCAAACTTAGTACGGCACCCTTCTAACAAGAACCCCCAAAAGCGGCCCTAAATAAGAGAACTACCCTAAACCCTAAACCCTAAACCCAAAACCCTAAACCCTAAACCCAAAACCCTAAACCCTAAACCCTAAACCCTAAACTTTGAGGCACGGAGCTGAAGACAGCTCTCTGGCGACTTCGATGCGGCCAGGAGGCCTCGACCCCGACGGCCATGGCCCGAGTCCCTGTTCCGCGGGCCGGGGAAGCGAGGCGATGTAGGGGAGTGCAGCAACTGAGCCGCTCTTCATAATTTTTTTGTAGGGTTTTTAGATCGGTATCATGGTAGATTTTTTGGTACCTAGTTAGAATTCAGAAGGCATAAGATCACCTATGTTTCTCAAGGGGACTTCAAGACCAGGCTAGAAGAAGAGGATGTGGAGCAGGTTTACAACATCCTGCAGTGGTACGGCACCGTGGTGATTGACATGCGGGAGGGGGACGTGGAACGTCTGGCCGAAAGCTGGGTGTGCCCGGACATGGCAGCTTGGTCTCTGAGCAGTGCCCTTTTGCCCATAGTCGGCTCTTATGAGGCTTTTATAAGGCTTGTAGTCTTCTCTTGTAGAGATGATTCTATAAGTGAGCTCTCCCACATAGCAACTTTGACCTTGGGCATCTCCAAGTGGGCAAAGGGTACCCTTAGAACCCAGGCGGCGTTAGCCAAACTGACTTTCCGTGATGATGCTCTGGTCATCGGGCACCTGCCAGCAGAAGCAGAGTTGGTGCCGTGGCTGTCTGTCAGAATGCATGGCGGTAAGTACCTTTTAAGCCTTTAAGTGCTCAACATATCTAGTCGAGTGGAACAGGCACAGACACATTCTGAAATTGAAGCGTTGCGTTGAACTCTCTGGGTATGCCGTGCTACTCCCTCTCAGTAAGGTCCTGCAGGGTCGTGTTCGGAGGTGTGTCTACACCGTCGGATCGGCCGTGGTGGAGCCCTTGCTATGTTCCTTCAGGGTCTTGAGCGCTCCGCCCGCAAAGAAGCGCCCCGTTCTGCCAAATGTGATTGGTACCAGGCTGGTGGTTGGTCACCAGGGGCATGCAGCAAAGCTGGATGAGTGGTCGAAGCATCTGAGCATCATCGGCGTGATCAACCTTGCACCGAACGTCGTACCCAGCAAACTTGATGCCATTCCGGACAGGGCCTTCTATCACGAAGTGTGGCACTCCGATGCCATGCCATTGTGGGACACGGCTGATGACGGCCGCCGGCTCCGTGACGTGCTGCCAGAGACACTCGCAGTGATCGACAGGGCTCCTTAGTTCCCCAATACCCAACTTTTAAACTTTTTGGGTTCTTATAATTTCGTAGTAACCCTAAAGTTCAACCTTGTATTTCCTTGGCCTATTGGGAAAGTAAGGCTCTCAGGGAAGGCGCTTCGGCTGCAAGTGCATGTT